GGGAGGAATGAAGGCAGGTATGGGGAGGAATGAAGACAGGTAGGGGGAGGAATGAAGGCATGTATGGGGATGAATGAAGGCAGGTAGGGGGAGGAATTAAGGCAGGTAGGGGGAGGAATGAGGGCAGGTAGTGGGAGGAATGAAGGCAGGTAGTGGGAGGAATGAATGCAGGTAGGAAGAATAATGAAGGCAGGTAGGAAGAATAATGAAGTCAGGTAGGGGGAGGAATGAAGGCGGGTAGGGGGAGGAATGAAGGCAGGTATGAGGAGGAATGAAGGCAGGTAGGGGAGGAATGAATGCAGGTAGGAAGAAGAATGAAGGCAGGTAGGGGGATTAATGAGGGCTGATATGGGAGGAATGAAGGTCGGTAAGGGGAGGAATGAAGGCAGGTATGGAGTGGGATGAAGGCAGGTAGGGGTGGAATAAAGACAGGTAGGGGAAGGAATGAAGGCAGGTAAGCAAAGGATAAAAGCAGGTAGGGGTAGGAATGAAGGCAGGTAGTTGGAGGAATGAAGGCAGGTAGGGGGAGGAATGAAGGCAGGTAGGTGGAGGAATGAAGGCAGGTAGGGGGATGAATGATGGCAGGTAGGGGAGGAATGAAGGCTGGTAGTGGGAGAAATGAAGGCAGGTAGGGGGAGGAATGAATGCAGGTAGGGGGAGGAATGAAGGCAGGTAGGGGGAGGAATGAATGCAGGTAGGGAAAGGAATGAAGGCAGGTAGGAAAAGTAATGAAGGCAGGTAGGGAAAGGAATGAAGGCAGGTAGGGAAAGGAATGAAGGCAGGTAGGGAAAGGAATGAAGGCAGGTAGGGAAAGGAATGAAGGCAGGTAGGGAAAGGAATAAAGGCAGGTAGGGAAAGGAATGAAGGCAGGTAGGGAAGGAATGAAGGCAGGTAGTGGGAGGAATGAAGGCAGGTAGGGGGAAAAATGAAGGCAGGTAGGGGGAGGAATGAAGGCAGGTAGGGGGAGGAATGAAGGCAGGTATGGGGAGGAATGAATGCAGGTAGGGGGATATGAAGGCAGGTACGGGAGGAATGAATGCAGGTAGGAAGAAGAATGAAGGCAGGTAGGGGGAAGAATGAAGGCAGGTAGGGGGAAGAATGAAGGCAGGAAGGGGGAAGAATGAAGGCAGGTAGGAGGAGGACTGAAGGCAGGTAGGGGTAGTTTAACCACCGTACCTGTGAACAGAATCTGACCAGTATGATGAAGGATATGAGAATGTCAGGATATTAAAGGCGAGTAAAGAGTGGAGGTCAGTGAATGAGCTAATGAGTAATTGATTTGTTATGTTATTGAATAATTAAGCCACACTATTAATTATTTAAATAGTTTTACTTCAAAACGAGTGAAATATGAATCCTGCAGTTAAGAGGAAAGCATTTGGAAATGAGTATCTGCATGTTGGGAGGGACCGGCGCGTTCGTCTCGCTCGTCGCACGCCAGGTGAATGACTCATCGATTTTACCAGTGAGGCATCACCGCGGCTGCGACATTTCGAGGTCAGGGTGCGTTCAGGGTCGCCTCAGGGACCTGCTACAGGGGTCAATTCAGGGTCGGTTCAGGGTGTAGTTAAGGATTACAAATTACCTACTAACGGAGTGCCGAACATTTTGATAAATTGAAATGAAGCCAGGACGATAATATGATTTTTTAGTTCCCTGTACGAAGTTAATGAAGAATTCAAGCAAATTATTATCGTCCTCAATTCAAGCAAATGACTTATGAGGACGCTTACTTATTAAATTCATATGCTTTTGGTAACACAACGTGAGGCGCATGAAATGTTTTATTATATTATTATTACATTATTTTTTTCATATATATGTTTTATTCTTTTGTGGCTTTCATGTGGCTTTCTAGCACTGGCTTATATATCACATTAGATGAACATGTTTTATTTGCAATTTAGTTTCATGATGAACATAAATTTTAGTTATAAATATATAACAAGTTATTTTTAGTGCGACTCGATCTGATCTGAAATGACACAGCACGCGTCGAAGTCAACTATAGAAAAATATCTGTGTCACATTATCCTAATTGCGATATACTTTCTGCACGTAGCACAGATACACCATTTTGCAGGGGCAAAACTGTGTCAGGATGACCCACACAATGACAGAAGTTGCATTGATAATAGGACAAAGTGTCCGTGGTTTCTCTGAGTGAAGGATATTATCCCCGCGGGCCACGGCTGCCGTCTGGGAAATTTAGCTCACCGCGGTGAAAGAGTCAGCGAGGGTAGCACAAACTGAGGGCTTCAAGGAGACCTCCAGCGACGTCGTGGACACCACTCCTGTGGCCATACTTTCAAAATTCGCTAGGTGAACGTAAGTACTCACGCTCTATTTTCTTGGTTATGATTGGTGGAATTGGCTTGAAAGGCCGTCAATGATTGGCTGATAAACATACGATCTCTTAACTTTTTTTGAAAGTATGGGCCCTGGTCACGTCATACATTTAATTTAATATAAAACTCATACTGGTGGGTCCGCTCTGCTATATCATGCTGTAAAATCCTAAATATTAGCAAGTCCACCAACTCATACTAGCGAAACCTTCCCGTTAGTCCCCTCGAAAAACCCATGCAATCAATGGTTCACTATTACTACAATCGACTCATAATGACAGTGTTAGCCCATTACTACACCCATACCGACATGCATCAACATTAGCCAATCAGCACATCCACGTTAACAGGTTCTCATCATAAGTTGACTAAGTAATCTCACACACTCAAACTAAATTAATAAGTCCCCACCAACTCGAAGACATATGACATAAAGATCAAGAAGCTACGTATGTGGGCCCAAAGGCACAATGTCCTCAGACTTGCTCTCTGATCATCGTTTCGACAAGCACGCGCCACCATCACACTCGTACACAATTAAATAGCTAAGTAATCAAGCCAAGCAAGCATCCAGGCTTGTATTCTAGCATTCAATTAAATTCACTGGAGCAAAAACTAAAATCTATCGTACAATAAACCACAGCAGTCTAGCGTTCAGCTAAATCCTCAGCCAAGCTCTGCCATTAAGTCTCATTAATTAATAAAACATTTCATAATCAATTTGAACCTCATTTAAGTTGGACTCCCACGATTCAGTTTACTTTAAAAGAAGATTTTTCGTTCCTATATTAAAAGCCATATGCAATAAACACTTTGTCTTCTGGGAATAATTTTTTTTAATTTATAACTACATAGAACCATAAGATACACCATTAATAGTGTTATTTCTACCTGACATGCAGTATAATCGTAGGCCCAACCTTGGCGCCTATTTATACTTCGAGCGGGCCTCACTAAATAAGCTTTAAATACTTTCACGGCCACATAGAACCAGGCAATGAAAAAAGAATCGATAGCATAGCGTTGGTATTAATAGATACAGTGTTTGTAAATGGCGAGGGGATGTTGCTAATTAGAAGTATAAGAGCGGTCGGTTTAAGAAACGAATTGGAGCAAACGATACGAGAGACAAAAAACTGATAACGGATAATGCATGCGGTTAAAGATCAGCAAACGTGACCGTGAAGTGAGTACGTCGTTCCTTTGGCACCAGCAGTCTGACCTTGACCTGAGACTCAGATACTCGAAATGATTGCGTCATCGTAAGTATAGCGGCCCAATCTACGATCCAGTTCTCCGAAAACCTGCCTCTCCCGATGTTAAATGTCAACCACTGTGCGACTCACGATTATTATCCTACTTACGATCGTCATCCGACGTACTTTATAATCGTAACGTAACACACTAGTCGTCTTTCCGATGATTATTTATCGCAGCACTCTAAACAATCGTCATATTTACTATCGTTGCACGAATTGAGGCCATCGTTCGACTTATGATGATCATATAAATTACGACAATTATTAATTAATTTACAATTGTCGACAATTAATTAATATAATTATTTTAAATACTGTGGTCCTTGACCTTGACCTGCTATCTAGCATGCGCTATGGCGAGCTGAAGCCAAGATCCTCGTCGCCTGATCTGGCCTATTGGACAGACCGAAACCCCGACCCTGACTACGTTCCTTTTGCTGCACGTTGGTGGAAAAATGCACTTAATTAAAACCTTCACAATGATTACTTGAAAGAATGAAATGATGAGCACATCCAGCTGGAAAGAGAGAAGCAGCAGGAATGACAGCAAAGAGAAAGCACGAGAGGCCATGCAAAAGTGGAGCAGTTTGAGGAGCAGAACGAAGTGCGGTATGAGAGGATGAAAAAATGTCAGTATGAGAAGCAGAACGAAGGACGGAATCAGGATCCTGCAACAACGGCAGCAAAATGGGTCACACGCGAGGTAGCACTATGAGTATGTCCCAAAAAATAGAAGATACGACGTGTCTTCTTTGAATTTTTATGTATTTTATGTCATTCAATTGTAAAATTGAATACAAGGTGGCCCAGTGGTTATACAGTTCAAAGTACCAGGATTGGAGCATAGAGGTGTGGGTTCGATCCCAGCTCTATGCGCCAGTTTCTGGTCGTAATTGGCAAGGAGGCCGGGCGGTTATAATCAATGCGAAATTGAAGCAGTGAGTTCCTCGTTCGAGACCACCTACGGCCTAATAAGCGCTGAAACCGGTATTATTATTATATACAATTTAAAAGTTGTTAATCCAGTATTTGTCTGGCTAACAAATGTTAGGTCTGAATCAATGTCCGGGTCCATTTCAATGCCGCATTCATGGTCCGAGCATCCAGGACAATGTAGATACATCTGTATATCTGAAAAAATTGAACTGATTCTTTTCCTCAAATGTAGACAATCTAGATGCCAATAGGGTTACATTTATTTCATTAGAATGAACAAGTATCTGAATGTAAAATGCGTATAGTTATAGAATTTGCAGGCACTCACATCAAGCCTGACAGTAGCTACGATCGATGTTTTCTTCACGACGTCCATACGTTAAAAACAGATTTATGCCTGAAATATGCAAGTCAATGATTCGGAAGTAGTTGTTTATTATGTTTGGCAGTTACTCACCTAAGTCGCTGATCGAAGAAGATACGACGTTTTCGTCTTTGCGGCGAGGCTGCGACAACTTCCGCGATCCGGTGGCTGCTTGTCGTTGGTAGAAGCTTTGCACATTAATGGTAGGATTTTGCTCACCGGCTTGATGGTAACCGCTTGTTTCAGGCCTTGCTGCATCATATTCTTGTGTCTCTAAAGCATATCTTTCGGCAGGATTATGAAGAGAGACTGAGGCTTTCGACTTATGAGTTTCATAAAACCCGCGCTCATCAAAAGTTACTGTCAGAGAATGCACGTGGGCGCGCCACACTTCTGCTGATATTCCTGGAGGAAAACGAGTATCGTCGGTCCGGGTTCCGTAGGAGCGTGTCGTCTTCGAAGTCATGCGCATGTCAGCGTTTCTTGGGTGGGTCGAAATTTTCTGCGCACGATGAGATGCAGCCATGACAGACGGCGGTGGAGCTTTCGGAGGCGGCATCATTTCTTCGTCTCTCTGACCATTAATTTTTACTTCAATTTTACCGGGCTTCTCGTCCTCATCATCTGCGTCATTTTTCCACCACCTGGCAATGTTTTCTTTTTTCTCTTCCTTGAGAAATTTCGTTTTAGTTTCAAATTGCTCTCCTTTCATGAGTACCGTTGTTTCAGGGTGCGATTTTACGTCGCCATCTGTAGGTTCAATTTTTATTTTTGCCTCGGCGCACTCTATTTCATACCCATCTCGCCGACATTCATAACCAGCTGATTGGTTTTCAGTGGATGTTGTTATTTCTGAGCGCTCATCGTCAGATTCTGCGGAACTTGACAATGCTTCCGTCTGAAGGAATACGCTGGAAACTGGACCGTTGCTAGTAGCCGGGAAGTGATGCTCACGATGTCTGAGCGGTTCAACATTGACAAGATTCGTCACAGAAAGTTTCGACTCTTCGTTTGAACCCTCATCTTGAGTCGTAGATATGACTGGCACTGCCACGTCAGACGAGGTGGAGCCCATATCTTCAAGTTTCTCTTCAGTAAACATTGAAATGGAATCGAGTTGAAATTATCGAAACAACATTTAAATTCAGGTACTTATGATGGCACAGGAAACCACCCTGAGTGTTAGTGAAGAAATATCACGCTTACGCTTTAGATCACGTTCATCAGGTACTTTAATTACTGGCACTAGCTGAGAATTGCATGTTTGTAAATTTGTATCGTGTAACTTCGCCTCATTTTAGTAGAAGTTATCCAAGGGACCTAGCAATCAGTCCAAAACCCTTTTAATTCCATCAGTAAACAACCATGGAAGTCATTATTTATATTCATAAACGAATATTGTCGATCTTCTTCGCTGCAAAAATTCTATCAAAGATGAGCGATTAACTTGTGTGAATTTTCAGCTATTCCCCGAATCTGACCACGGGAACAAAGTTATTGTAGCAAGGAACACTCTGAGATCTACACAGTCATGCGAGGCAGCAAGTAGCTACTTTCAGCGAATAGTATTGTAATCGCTTTATGATATGACCGTCAAATAAAGCGTGGCAACGTTTAATGAGAATAACGTTTGCTCTGCACAACTATCAGCTCAAACATGAAGTTCAGATCAGCCGTGACAACTCAACAACGTTTTTGAACTTGTCAACATGCACAATATATATTATATAATATATATAAGTAAAACCATAGCTATATTCCGATGTAATTACGCCACTGAAAATATCACTCATTCCGAATGAATCTTTTTTTTCATGGTGCTCAAAATTTAATTAAACTATTTTTGCCAATGTCATACCTTATATATTTTTTAATCCAAAAGAAAGAATATCGAGTCTTTTAGAACAAAAGTCACACTTGTGAGCATAAAGCACTTTGCAAGCTATCAACACGAAAGCGAAGAGTTAATCCCACGAAAAGTACTGTTGAAGGTCAAGCGAGGTAGTGAGTGTAAGCAGCGGTCAGGAGCACGCGTGCTCTCTTCACGACGAACGCTTCAGCAATGAATGGACGCCCGCGGCGTCACTACGTACAACCGCAGCGTCATGAGGGCACTGGGCGTGGAGGGAGGCTGGCGGGGCGCAATGAAACAATGACGCGTGCCGTGTAGATATACTTTTTACCGATGATAGAGATGACTATCTGATAGGAGTATTTTTCAAAAAAGATAATTTATTTCAACAAAAAAAAAACGAAGTTTGCGTTCGAACGTAGAATTTACTTCAATAATCGGTCATCAGACATGAACCTTACATTATATAGAATAGAATAGAATAGAATAGAAGTGTCGGCGCTGAAGAAATAGGCCCATGGCCTGTTGCCGATTCTTGAACTTTTCGTGACTTGATTCACAAGGGATCCGGCCTTTGGAACCCGATCTTTCCATAGCTGACGATTGATCCAGGGTTACATTGTCACTGTAGCGCAGTGGTTATAGGGCCGCTGTATGCGCAGTGACGACGGTAGAGCGGCACCGAGATGGAGGAGCTAGGCGTGGGTTCGAGCCCCGGGAAGTTCAGTTAAAGTCTCGGTGTCGCTGGTGGACGGCGCATAGTCGCCGTCATAAGGTGGTGCTTTCAGCATGGCCTTGGGTAGTACTCAAATGGATCAGAGATTTTCTAGTAGGGAGGCGACAACGTGTCAGTATTAATGGGTCCGTATCAGACTGGGCTTCTGTGCGCAGCGGCGTGCCACAAGGAAGCGTTATGCTTAGTTTACCAACTGTACTATCTCAGGCATTGATGATCCCACAGACATTGCAGCTCCTCGTAAAATTTGCTCATTCTTCGCCATTAAATTTTGTCATGATTGTTAAAAATCAATACAACATTGCAAGTATTTCAAACATTACCTCTCACTCTGTAATTAGAATGCCTTCGCATCAGCTTCCCTTCAAATATTTGAGTTCCCCCAAACAACGAGACGTCCTGCGTTCAAGAATTGGCCTTCGCTCAGACATCAGTAGTCATAGAACATTTTTCAGACACTAAACACCAACAGTTTGCAAACTTCCATAAGCCTTCCCTCAGCCGTCAGCCTTCTCTCGGACATCAGCCTTCCCTCAGGCATAAGCCTCCACTACATAAGCATTCCCTCAGACTACAGCCTTCCCTCAGCAATCTGCCTTCCCCCCCTCAGCCATCAGCCTTCCCTCAGACATCAGCCTTCCTTCATACATCATCCTTCCCTCAGTCATCAGCCTTCCCTCATACATCAGCCTTCCTTCATACATCATCCTTCCCTCATACATCAGCCTTCCTTCATAAATCAGCCTTCCTTCATAAATCAGCCTTCCCTCAGACATCATACTTCCCGACAGACATCAGCCTTCGCTCAGACATCAGCCTTCCGTCATACATCAGCCTTCCCTTAGCCATCAGCCTTCTCTGAGACATCAGCCTCCCCTCAGACATCAGCCTCCACTAGTTCAGTCCTGATGAGTCCCTCCGAGGTTCTGGCGGCACAGAAAGCTGAGGGTTCTGGAACTGCAGCGCCACGATCACGTACGACACGGTGAACGCCACCGTCTGCACCAGTATACAGCCATTGTGCATGTATGAAAGTCGCACATTTTCCGAGTTTGCTTTGAGATCCGTGAACATAAGTGACGGTTATTTGTTAATTGGGTATTTTCAAAATAATTAAGCTCACGTACCTCAAATGATCACAGCCACTGCGAAGGTGTAAAATTACCATATTTATCGAGATCCAAATTAATTCGTGGCAGTTATCTGTAAATTACTTAAATCAAAAATAATTAAAACTGCATAGGGCAACGTGGGGCAGCGCCTCCCCCTCTTTTTTTTAAAGTAAATTTTTGATGAAGTTTTAATTGATACGAGGTGTTTTTTTGTTTTGTTTAAAGGTACAACTAATGAGGAATGTATGATGTGAATTAGACGCCTATAGAGTTATTCAATTTTTAATGAAACACTATTTTGGGCCCACTCAAAATGGGCCCATTGCCCCAACCCTGTGGCAATGGGCCCATGGGCTTGGGGCAAGGCGCCCAGCCCCTGGTCCCTTTACCACAATTGCATATTTTTCGTTCAAAAATTATAAAACAACACTTTACAATTACATATAAAAAAATGCAATAATAAATATGACATTCACTCGTTTATTAACAACTCAAAAAACCATATCCTTAACTTGAAAAAAATATACTCAATGCTTAAAAAATCTATCACTGACGTGAAGAAAAATATTTCATTGACATAAAAATATATATCATTGACTTGAAAAATATATCCTTGTGATAAAAAATTCGTCCTTAACATGAAAAAGTGTATCCTTGACTAGAAAAAATATATTTTGTTGATCAGAAAAAAACTTCGTTCCAGTTTCGTTCATAATCCAGATATTATGTGCAGAGAATTCGTACCTATTCGTGATTTCAGCTAACACCATAAACACTCATCAACTTTTGGCTCATTGGTGTTGACTGAAATCAACTTTTGGCAAGGCAAGAGTCAATAACTCGATAAGGGGTCATAAATGCGCATAACTAGAAACTAAACCTGCTGCCTTGAAGCGGCAAATAAAAAAATCAAGCAATATGAAGTGTAATTTGTAATTCAAAAAGCTAGTCATAGCTTTGAAAAGGTCATTGAGATAAATCTCATGATGTATAACACAAGACTTCACCATGGGCGCTTTGCCCCGTGACACGCGTGGGCCCGTTGCCCCACTGGGTATCATTTCAATTTATATCGTGTCAACATTTTATTTCAAAAGCTAATAGTCTAAACTTGATTTCATAAGTATCCCTATAAATATTACTTTCAAAATATAATTCACAGAAATTTCAAAAGCTCCATCTACAGTAATCGAAAACAGTTTTATTTAACAGCAAAAAAAAATTATCTGGGCTAAAACAGTTATTCGCAAATAACTAAATAACGCAAACTCTTGGCAAAACGTAAATCCGTACATTTCATCCCAATGAAACTTTCGACCGGCGGTAGAGAACAAGAACACGGACCAATATCCGCCATACTTAGCGAGAAACCCGCTATGGGCCCATGAACCACAGTGGGCTCGCTGCGCCCCACGTTACCCTATCTGAAATTATTGCAGCCAATGCACCGGAATTAAATTATCATATTTTTTTAATTTTGGTTGAATTCAATTATTTTGGGGCAGTTTTCGGTTAGTGGCCTGATTATGAAAGAAATAAACCCTTACACCTGAAATTGTTACACCTATACTGCACAGTTGTAAAATTACCATATTTCGCGACTTTGGTTGAGATCGAGCTTCGTTTGCGGCAGTTTTCGGTTATGTCCTAATTTTGGAACAACTAAGCCCATTCAACTGGAATTTTAAATATTTTAAATATAATTCAAATATTTTTTAAATTTGTTGGACATCGAAGTTAATTTTTAGTAGTTTGAGTTGTAGAGCAAGCGTGCAAAATATTCATTTACAGTACTTTGTCGTACCTATAAAGATATATACTTATCACTTTAGAATTTTAACCAAAATGTGCGTCTTTCACTACTGCGTGTGCACAATAATTTACAGGCTGGTATTGCTAGCTTACCTGGGAAAAAATCATGCATATTAAAATAACATGTTTTCGAAAAAAACAAGTAATTGTTTATCTGTAAAAAACTAACAAAATATCCTGGTTTCATAATATGTATGTAATAAATTGAGGGTTCAATTATTTAATTAGTAACCATCGGTTATTAAATACAATAAGAGAGTCTATGTTGTGATAGTCTATCACATGAATCAAAATATCTACATGTTGCGCGACAACAGTCAATGGACCTTGCTCCCCTCATTTCATTGCTCCCGCCATTTATTTCATAAACTTGACTGTAGTCTCATAGTTATGAATAATATTATTCAAGCTCGTATTAAAAATTTTCAGGTGATTCGAACCAAAATTTCAATCAAAAATGAAATTATAGGTTCATTTTTGAAAAAAATTCCAAGTTTTTTCTTTATTTTACTTTTGAAAAATTACTGTGTGCAAATAAAATTAACACCAGAGTGGAAGTTGATTTTAGCTTAGTGTTTGAGTAAGGCTAACATAATATAGATTCAAAAAAACCTCTGGAAAGGTAATTTCTCCAAAAATAGCGATACAATATTGGCCAAAAAATCCCAAAAAATCTAGACGAAATTGCGAATTCACATAATGGCTTTTCGTAATGAGAAATCTGGTGGTCGCTTTTTGATTTCATTTCATTCTGTTCTGTCATGTCAGCCTCCACTAGTTCACTCCTGATGAGTCCCTCCGAGGTTCTGGCGGCACAGAAAGCTGAGGGTTCTGGAACTGTAGCGCCACGATCACGTACGACACGGTGAACGCCACCGTCTGCACCAACACAAAATTCACGTCAGGAAGTTAAACATTTAACAAAAAATTAAGTGAAGCTTGAAATGTCAAAAATGGCCATTTGAATATTGAACTCTGTCTTTCAAAGCTAAACTAGTTTAAACCCCGTTCAAAAATCGTAATAAAATAAGATCGTAATTATTCAAATTGCGCATTATTTAACAAAATAAATTTGAGATCCTTCGGAATTCGGTAAAAACTCACATTCGTGAGCGCCCCGCGGCCGATGCCG